TTACAAGAATTCAATATGATTTTTTTATGAAATTTCAAAAAATTTTTTTAAATCAATTTTTATATTTTAGTGTATTTGTTTATTAATTTAAGATAGTTAAGATAAGTAGATTATGGCATGATGAAACAATGTAATGTTTTAGACTTTGATGCCACATTAGAATCCTCTGCCCTTATTTGAAAGCTGATCATTAAATTATTAGTCTTATATTATCTTACTTTATTATAGGTACTTCCAAATTATTTTTGTAGGTTGGTATTAAAATTATCATTTTTTCTACATTTATTAATACTCATATTATAATATTAATGAGTAATTCTTAAAATATGAAATTTTATTCTATAAAATTTTTTTGTATTTCTTATTAATTTTGAAGAAATTTCATTATACTTTCAAAAAGATATCGTTTTATCTAATTAACAGGTATTATATAATAATGAGAATGATATTAACTATTTTTTTTACCTTAAATACTCTTATATTCCAAAACTATTGGAGGTAAGTTATTATTATTTAAAAGTATGAATAGTAAAGCAAAAATATTTGAAATTGGAGAATATTATGATGATATTAAAATTGGAAAATGGAATTATATTTATTAAGATGCGAAGATGTATATAAGTTTGATTTTTTTTAGGGGCGTGGTTTTTATAATAAAAATGGTTAAAAGTAGGGCAAATGGATTGAGCTTGATAAAGAGTTTTATATTGAAAAACTAGTTTGTTATATAGGCGAATATAATGGGAATGGAGTGAAGGTAGGAGGATGGGATATTATTTACAAGATGTCTAATTATTTACCATATAATTAAATGTAAATATTATTTAAGTGTAAAGGGGGAATAAATATGAGTATATAATGTTTATAGATCATGTGATTAAGAAGGAAATGCGAAAAAAAATTGGAAAGTTGGTAGAATTGTTTGAGGGATTTTAATATTGCTCTTAAGTCACTTATAATGGTGAATATCATAAAAATGGCATAAAGAAAGGCAGATGGTATTGTATGTATTGTGCTCCTGATAAGGATGAATATAAATATATGTAAATATTAGATAAGGTACAAAGGGGAATATAAATAAATATATAGTGGTGGGGGATTATACGATTAAGAAGGAAATCAAAAAAAGATAGGAAAGTGGATAGAATTGGTTGAAGGGTTTTCACAATATGCATAAGCCACTAATAATGGTGAATATCGTATGAAAGGTCAAAAAGTAGATATTTGGGTTAAAATGGATATAGGATACAATTAGAAAAGAGGAGAAACAAAATATCATATTTGTAAATTTACAAATAACCTAATATAAATAGTAACATATAATAGCATTTTATTGATTTTTAATAAATAAGAAATTAACTTTCTTTAACTCTTTTCATTTTATAATTCCAAAGATAAAAAGATTATGATATAAATTTTTGATTGATTCTTATAAAGTAAACACTTTCCATCCTCCCAACATTATTTCGAGTAGCATCAACTTTGGTCAAATTTTTCTCTAATAATTGATATCTGTATGATAAAGTTGATAATAATATAATTTAAATACAGAAAAATATAATAAGGTTCCAATGTTGTCAGGCTGTTTAAAGTCAATTAAAAATTTTCACAAATTTAGGTAGGTCATATGTATAACTTTACAAAGTGAAAATAAATATATATTATAAAATATCAAATAAAATGTCATTAGAATTTTAAATCAGATTTGTTGAAGATTGTAAATTAAATTTCATTTATATCCAATTTGAATCTTATTAATAACAAAGGTATAAAGCATTATATGATAAGGGTTTAGTCTAAGATTTATATCTCAAAATCAATAAGGATCAGAAGGTACAGTCATATTATTCAAGCAAATTTAAATTATGCTTAGTATTTGAAAACATTACTAAATACTTATTTTTCATTCTCCTATCTTATTAAATAATTTCAATAAAAATTTGCCATATCAAAAAAACATATATATTTTATTTTGTGCAAAGAATCTGGAGATTTGAAGTCTTAAGAAATAATAGATTTCAATAATGATGAAGCGATTACATTAGTTTTTATTAGATTTTCAAAGATTTATTAAAGCCTAAGTTAGAAGATAATTTACCACAAAAGATTAAAAATTTTTGAAATAATCATTTAAATTGATTGAGAAATTATTTTCATAGAAATGCAGTATTCGCTTAGTTTTTTTTGGAAGATAACTGCAATTTTGATTTGCTGAACATCTGCACAGCTTTCTATCAAGTCCATAGGAAATTACAGGCTATTTGTTTCTTAATTAATTGATTATCATATTTTTTTTCCAATTTTGCATTTGAATTACTTCTCAAGTTCCCTTATAAGTACTAATTTAAATATGTTTATAGTTAAAGAATATAATTAGAAAGTGAGAGTTCTCAAGTTTAGATTCTGTTATCTTTTCAGATCTATAGTTTGGCTATAACACATAATGATAGGATTAATATACTATGTAACGAATTGGAACTTATTTTTCATATACTCTTCGATTTTTGATGCACATCAAAAAGTGAATTGAAATATATCATACAACAAAGTTGGAAGACTAAATACAATAGATTTAATAATTATTTGTAAATTTGTATTTTTTTACTGTTGGCAACTAACTTAATATAGAAATATAGCCATCTTTACATTGATAAATGTATAACCTTATCCTTTTAAGATAATTCAAACCACAAATTGATTTATTGATGACCATTAGAATTCTTTCTTCTTTTAATTATAGTAACATCGCATATAGAAGTTTAGTAATCTCATAACATGAAGATAGAGTATTTATCGGCCTTTTCCAACAGTCCCATCTTAATTTTTAATCAATATGCATTCTTAATTTCTTCTCCAATATAAACATTCTCTTTCAGTAGTTGCATTCTTATTATCAACACATTCTAAATTTTTACATTACTTGTTACTATCCCAAATACAAGGTTATTAATTAGAATTAACATTGCATCCAAGTTTACTTTTATAATGATAATAAGTATTATAAATTAACACAACTTTTAGTGAAATCAGCTATTGCATTTAGAATTAAAAGATTCACAAGCTTGATATGCTAAATCATTAATTCCAATTATCTAAAAGAAAAAGATGAGTCAACATCCTTGCATGAAATACCAGAAATGCTTATTAAAATTTAAAAAAAAACAAAACTATTTAAGCCAAGAAACAATACAAAAGAAGAATTATTCTTATATGAACTCAATATTTTTATATTCAATAGATTCAGATGATAAATAATAAGGAAATCAAATATATTTATTCAGTGTGGTGCTATAATATGCTTGTATAAGTTTATTTGATTTTAATTAGAAAGCTTAAGTTCCCCTCAATTCATTTAAATTAATCATTGCAATTATAGATTATAATAAATTCAATTACTATGACATTAGAATAACATTATAATTACTATATTATAATAGTAACCAATTAGTCATGATAATCATTTGGAATAATCGTGATTATTATCTTATCATAATTAAAATAATCTTTATAGATGAACTTTTATTGATGAAAATTTAGAGAAATAGTATTAAATATTATTTATTATTAATGCTTCAACTTTTCATTGATTATCTCAGTAATGATATTCTCATCATTGAAGTAAGAACTTTCTAATTTAAAATAGATGTATTTGTTGTTAATTAAAGATCTTATTTT